TACACAAACGTGTGACTTCAAAAACACTCCATGGAAAAGTAGGTGGCACGTATTTTGGGAGGTGAGAGGGAAAGCAGTAAAAGTCTTGTCTGATGATGCTGGTGTTGAAAACACAGCTTTCTGTGTCCTTTGAACATTCTGGAATGTCCACAGGGTTGCTCTTCAAGTAAAACAGACCCCTCTTTGCTATGTATCATTATCAATTAATGTGATTAGAAATGTAACTGGTTCAGCAGACATATTTGTAACGTTCAGCTTCTCAACTGCCTGTCTTACTGGCATGGGTCACCTTAGCAAAGGTGACAAAACTTCAGCAGTGACAACTGCAGAGAGCAACTTCAAGTTTTCAGATTCCAAGGTGAAGTTAATTAACTAGTAAGGTAATGGCAACTATGTGACATGTCAACAGCAAAGCCAAAACAATAAGAAAACAACCCCCAAAACCACACATACACAAAACAACAAAAAAACCCAAAACTAGAACAAAAAAAAAACCCACCAAAAAAAACCCCACCAGAAACCCTGCCAGCCAAACTAGTTAACAATTAATAAACAAAGCTCTGTTACTGAAACAAAAAGTAAATGTAGTGCTAATCAATCACAGCAGAGGTGTCACAGACCAGTGGGTGAGAAACTGCTCAGCACAGATTAAATCAGCCATAGTGTTAACAGTGTCTTATATAGTGAACAAAGACATAATGGCATTATCAAAACCCAGTTTTTTTGGTAGTTGTTCCATTGAACAAAAGCTAACAGCTGTAGAAGGCATTCACTTTTAAATTTACATGTTCAGTTTCCTGCAATTTTCTGGAGTGTGTATGCCTGACAAACACATAACAAACATATAAGTGTAAACTTCCACACAATACAAAACTATGCCTAGGAAACTCCACTTTCTTTCAATAAGCCTAATCATGTACTTACATAAGTACACACATAGTCCTACTTAGATGTGTATGGCACAATCAAAAATTAGAGAGACTGCATAAAACTTAGTTGCTTTATTTTTGTCTTTTGACTACTGATACTCTCATTATTGTAACAGTGCCACTGTTCTATTTTTAATTAATTTTAATTCATAATATTCTGATGATGCACATGCGCAAAGACTGAGCACCACTAACACTGTTTAGCTGCTTAGTAGATCTCTAGTAACATTTTTAATCAGGAATAATACATTTTGTTATTAAAATATTTTACTCTTTTCTTTAAGGACTAAACTAGTATTTGTTAAAGAAGGAATTGCTTCAGTACAGGACCACAGTCAGTCTTGGGATTAAAGCTTCCAGAAGCCTCTTCTGTAATTTGGTCTCTTATTTGTAAGGATAGCCATTTACCATTTGCATGTCCAGGAAAAATAAAAATAGTTACTATAAATTCTACCACTTCACTTCTGTGTAGACACCATAACTAAGCAAGCCACATGTTGTCAGAAGTCAAAAAATGCTGTTGATTTCCATATGACTAAATCCTTTTTTTTCTCCCAAAGAAGAGGAACATTTTTCCCGTGTACCCAAGAGAAATTAAAGAGAAATTAATCCACCATGCTTCGTACTGAAAATCGAAGAGATGAAAGTAAGGATAAAACACCCATACGCTTAAGGAAGAAGACACAGTCTCTTCTCATTGCTAACCTCTACTGCTAATAATTCTCTCAAAAGCTGTCTCTCCCTTTAGGGAAACGTACTTAAATTACAGTACGCCTACCGACTTCACGTCTACAAGCAGAACTCCATTTCTGGAACCGGTGAGCACAGAAACGCACACAAAGAAAAAAGTGAAATTGGCAGCGGTTAGCGATGATGGAGGGGCTCACGTCAACAGTCCAAGCGGAGGTACCAGCGCCTTGCTCTGCAGAGCGTGTTTCTGCCACTCCACGTTTCCCCCGCACGCTCTCTGAACCGCAAGTGAGAGCCAGGCTGAGCAGTCATGAATTGTCAAGATTCTTCTTCATTTTTAAAAGCTGCCCGAGTTCCAGTACGTGTTCAGACACGCCTGGAGAGCGATGCTGCTACTTACATAAAACTGTTAACAGTATCCAGGTTGAAGTTTTTCTCCGAGAGGGAGACAAAAAAAACAAAACCACGAAAAAATTAAGAGACAAGACCGTGAGCGCTCAATTTCATTCGACCAAGCCTGCCGAGGC